CAAAGCATTCCTCAAAATTATGCCAATGAAGCAAATGCCAAGAAAGGATGTAAACAATTTTCCTGAATTCTATGATGTCCAAGTGAAGCAAAAAATTTAACAATGCAGCTTTTGTGTTCATCACCAAAATTCTAGCATATATCTGAATATTTCTCTTTTTATGGGTCGACTGATATGCGTTATAAGCCCAATTCTAATAGCCTCAAGGTAATTTTTCATTTCCAATATCAGTTGCATAGGAAAATATCTTGCATATGGTTTATTCATGCACTTGGTTATGATTTAAATAGTCTATTTCATTATGATACGCAGAAGAAAGAAGAAAATATCTTACCATCAATCCCCGATTGCGTGAGCGAGGAAGATCTTGTATATATTTTTCAAAAGCCTCTAATCTTACTTTCCCTTTAACTTCTAGAAATTCAGACCAGTTGACATCAAGCAACTTATCACCGCTACATAGAAATATGTCATTGACGAAGTTAAATATATATATATATATATATATATATATATATATATATATATTATATTCAACCTGCAAAAATACAAGGGATATAGCTTCGTAGGTCACAAGCTTATTGCCCCAAAAATAATTGAAACAATGCTTCCTACAATGTTCTACACTGCTAAAAATATCCTAGTGAACGCATGTAAACAAACTCGGGAAAAAACAAGCAAAACCAGTTTTTCTAACATTGACTGTGTCAAGCACTCTTACATGAGAAGCACAGTCTTCTTGTTTCACAACTAAATCGAAGACGGAGTGTTTAAAGAGGATAGAAATAGAAGAGAGAGTACTCACCACAGTTCGTGCTTCCGATTTTGTGCTTTTCAAAAACTTCGTGCTTGCGATTCCCCTTCGCCTCCCAAATCGCCTTCTCTAGGGTTTCAGATTCCCTTTCGCCTCCCAAATCGCCTTCTCTAGGTTTCAGAGGAGAGAGAAAAGATCGGGCCAAAGTGTTGCAGACGACGTTTTAAAGTTACTTCCTCCGCTACAGTTCAAGACCCAACTTACTTCAAGCGCTGCAGTTCTTTTTATTGGGCTATAGTTCAGAAACAACAAAAACACCATTTTGGTGTTTTAGTTTTGGGCCAAAATTGTGTACTGTTTAAAACAATATTTTTGTACTGTTTAAAACATAACAAGGGCTACCAAACATGTTTTTGGGCCTGAAATTGAGCCCTGCAACAAAAACACCAAAGTAAAACACATAACAAATAGGCCCTAAGTTTTTATTTGTCAGACTAAATGTAACGACCCGCTCCACCACATGATATGATATTGTCCGCTTTGGGCCTGAGCCCGCACGGTTTTGTTCTTGGGCTTCACCCCAAAAGGTCTCATACCAATTGGAGGTGACACACTTACATATAAGCACTTCACCTTTCCTCTACCCAGGTGATGTGGGACTGTGCACCCGTTACTCGCCAGTGTGGTAGCCTGACAGTGTCTCTCGCACCCGCCCAAGGCACACCCGCCCACAAGGTCGTCACAATCCACCCCCCTTGGAGGCCCGACGTCCCCGTCGGCACACTTCCGGCTGGGTCAGGCTCTGATACCATTTGTAACGACCCACTCCACCACATGGTATGATATTGTCCGCTTTGGGCCTGAGCCTGCACGGTTTTGCTCTTGGGCTAATGTAATACCCCCAGTTTAAAAAGGATAAAATTAGGATTTAAATTTCATTCTATGTGCATTTTTGTCTGTTGATTTTTGTGGCTATGTGCTTATGTGTCAAATTGGCTATTTAATTAATTGTTTGCATGTTTAATTTATTTTATTTATTTATTTTAATTAATTGTTTATGTAATTGGATTAATTTTGTATTTGCTTTAATTGGGTTAATTTAGTCTTATTATTATTTTTTTATTGTTTCTCTGTGGGTTTTATTATTGGTAAAGTGGAATTAGGGTTTAATCAACCAGTAACTGGGATTTATATGTTTAATATATATTATATAAATGATATGTTTGCATTGAAATCAAAAATTGTTACAATTTCTGCATGGCACGCTTCAGTTTTATTTCTGTAAGTGTGTTAACTCTATTGTAACTTTAAGCTTGTTAATTGATTTCAACCACTGCAAACGGATCCTTGGGATGTTACTGGGTGTTACTGGGGTGATATAAGATCTTTAGGTTGGAACAGAGGGAGTGAAATAGAACTGGCGTTGTAAATCAGTTCAGTGTTGTGTTCTAACTTGCAAGTTCTATCTTCCTCTTTCCCTTTGGGCCGTGTTCTGTGCACCTAGATAATCTCTAGGGTTTAACTAATCAGTAATTGGAACTTACATGTTTATATATATATTTCATTGATGATATGTTTGCCTTAAAACAAATCTGTTACAAAGCATGTAACATTGGTTCCAGTTTTCTGCCTTTTAAGCATGTTGTAACTTTAATTTTTGTAGTTAATTTAAACTACTGTAAACAAGTATAAGAATGCTACTGGGGTATATAAAACTCATAGGGATGCTATTATTCTATTTTAATTACTTGTTGCAATCCGTTCTGTTTCAATTTGCACATGGTTCCAGTGTTCATACTAACAGCATGTTAAGTTGGGTAGCAAACTTAAGCTTTGTAATTGATTTAAATTGCTATAATCAAACCCTGGGGATGCTATTAGGAGGGTATTAGATCCTTAAGATTAGTTTAAGAAACCAACAGAGGGGTAGGAATTGATCGGAGAAGGAGCAGATTGACGGAAACGGAGCAGTGATGAACTGGAGGCTCTCAAAAGGGAGAGAGCCGGCTCTAGAAAGTCAAGAGCCGGCTCCCCTTCAGCAAGAGCCGGCTCCTAGGGAAGTTGGAGCCGGCTCCAATAGGGGAAGAGCCGGCTCTTCCATTCCAAGAGCCGGCTCCAATTTGTTTTACGTCCAGAAAGTGTTTTCTAGGGCTCTGTTTGGTGTTTTGAGCACTGTTTGAGCTTTTGAGTGATGCTAATGAACTGTAGGGACTTAACAGAGGATCTAAGTAGTTAATTTTAAGTGTTATTAAACTTATTGTTGTATGGTTTAAGTCTCTAAGACAAAGGATGAAGCAGTGTAAAAATATACAACGGTGTATGCTACTAACAGAGAAAGGAACTAAATGGCTTGATTAAATTTTAGAAATTTAATGAGATTTCACGGGGGGATTAAATAGTTAATTTTGGGTGTTATTAAGACCCTAAATTGATTTAAGGTTAATTCTAAATTAACGGATCAAACTGTATAACACTTATGTACAATTGTATACGGTTAGTGGATGGATGAAGTTTTAAATGCTTAAGCTTATTTTTAGGCATTCCAGTGAGATTTAATATATTTATAAAATGGGTTTAAATATATTATAGGGTCATTGGTGTGTTAGATGTGATCTATGCATGCTCTGGATGTTAGTTGTTGATTTATTAAATCATCTCCTGCAACTGTATGGTTAACTGTTTGGATTTAGATTACTGAAACTTTAAACAGTTTCTTATAATGGTTTGGATATTGGTTTGGATTGTAAATTGCTAAACTTTAATTTAGGTGTTGTAATTTACTTGGTTTGGATGCCAATTGTGAAATCTTATATATTATTCTGCAATCAACTGGATTAGGGTTTTGAATTGAAATTGCTATAATATTGTATAAACGATGCTGCAATTACTTGGCTTTGGTTTTGGATTTAAATTACTTGCTTATTATATATATGTGGTAATTTACATGGATATGGAGGATTGTATGTACCGGTATGGGACGGTGACATACTAGGTATGGATTAGTTAAAACACTAATCCTACCTAATTTGGAATGAGTTGGATTAACCATACAAAGGTTAAGTCCTACTTAAATGGATGTATATGAACCGGTATGGGACGGTGTCATATTAGGGATGGCTTAGTTCAAAACACTAAGACCTACCTATATTGGGAATGGATTAGTTCAAAACACTAAGTCCTACCCAAATTGGATTAAGGTATGGATTAACCCTAATGGTTAAGTCCATCATCTATTTGTGTCATATCAATTGAGAACTGAATGACCTATTTGGTTTCAGGATGGATTTGTTATACATATATCAGACCCCTATATATATGGTTGATATTTTGTATTAGGAGGAGTATGGACTTTACATATATAATATATGTGCCATGGTATGAGCTTGAGTCTCAGGACCATGGTTAGGGCGCGTATATCGCCTGGAATGGATAACTGGACATAAGTGTTGTTCCCTGGTAGGTTTAGGTAGTCATGCCCACCTTAGGGTGCGTATTTGCATGTTGCCTTCTATTCAGGCTGAGACAGACCTACTGGACTAGCGAGCGTCCTATAGTGTGTACTATGTACTTATATGGACTACTCTAGCTATTGTTGAGATATCTAGGGTGTATCTGCGTATCGGGTCACTGTGTGGATTGCAGTTAGATTAGAACTTACTCGTGGGCCTGACCCACCCTTCTATTATTTTTTTTACAGGTGTTCGTTAGCTTCAGTCATAGAGCTGGATCGTGCTAAGCAAATACAGTCATTCACTCTACCGTTGGCATAGGATTGTATTTCATGTGGTAGAATTGAGTTTTATTTCTAGTTCTTTTGAATACAGTTGGGATTTGAATAGGGGTCCACTAGATGGATTCCCGAGTTGTATATGGAGGATCAGTTGTATCATAAAGGTTGTTTATTAATGAAATTTTATTTCGGGATTTCATTCAATGGATTATCATTTTAGTTTTCTATTCAGCAAATTTTATTTATGCTTATTTACTTTAAAATTGTACTCTGTGTTCATTAATTGCTAATTTGTTTGATATCCTCGGGTAATCGGGCGTGGACCTGGCCAACCCGCATCCGGAAATCCGGGGGTATCACACTAAATAACATGACCGGTGTTATTATATTCTTTCAAGTACTACATACCAACCAAAAAAAAAAAAAAAAAGTGGTTAATAAAGTAATACTTAATAGAGATGTAAACGGCGTCGTCTCGAATTTTTGCCCCTAAAACAGTGCTTCAGCATTCTTGTTCCCAAAGAAAAGTTTCTTCTATAGAGACAACATTTTGAAACTGTTGACATACGCACAAAACCCTAACGAAAAGTCGAAGGATTAGAGGATGAGTCGTGGAAGCGGAGGTGGATATGATCGTCACATTACGATCTTCTCTCCAGAAGGTCGTCTCTTTCAAGTAGGTATGAATTTTCTGAAATTATTACAGCTCTCTATTGACCTGATTTTAAGATTGTTGTTGAGGAAATAAAAAAGATGATAAAAGCTTCGATATAATCTTCTATTTTTCACTTTCCGTTCTCCAAAAACCCTTATCAACTGAACTTTTTTGTGTTTTTCCCCTTTGTGGAGTCCCAAATTGTGAATTTCCCTTTTCCCAGAGTTTTCAATAGCCAAACGATGCGTTAATTGTAAATAGCATTCCTTCAATAATCTGAAAAGTTTTACTTTTTTTTTTGGATGAATGAGCAGAGTATGCTTTTAAAGCCGTTAAGGCTTCTGGGATCACCTCTATCGGTGTCCGGGGTAAAGACTCTGTCTGTGTTGTAACCCAGAAGAAGGTTCCGGTGAGTATGCCTTATAATTATGAAACAGTATTCAATCCATTATTTTTTATTTCCATAAGTTGTTTAAATCTGAATCCTTATGCAGGACAAGCTTTTGGATCAGACTAGTGTCACACATCTTTTCCCCATCACAAAGTATCTCGGATTGTTAGCAACTGGCATGACAGGTTCTTTTAAAATGCTCTTTTAGCATAGCACTTTTTATTTATTTTATTGTATTTTATTGAAATTTGTTATAACCTCTTAACAATACATATCATATATATTTCATGCATTTTTATTCACAGTCAAATTAAATTGTTAACACATAGCATTATGTAATTGTTATTATTCTTTAGTATTAATTTCAAATTTGAGCCTTAATTTGATTTAGTTGGGTATTATATACCAAGTACATCTATTTTAATTGTCTGTGGTCTGTTTTATGCTAGTTTGTAGTTAATTATATTAATAAATTTCATTTTTACTTTTTAATGGAGATGATAATAATGAATTGAGATAAAAACAGAAATGATAATGCTGGACCAACTGACCAAGTATCTTAAAAGAGGACATATTAATAGAATCAGACTCAATCACAATCACATCATAATAACAAGTATGAGTGTATCTTTTACTTTATAGGTAAAGAAATCCCCCAAAGGTGCCAAGTGGGAGCAAGGCATAAAATGAACTTGCAAAACCAAAAAGTTTAAAAGCCCCTTGATATAAGATCTAAACCTAAAACACCATCTTGTTTCCTGTTATACTTACCTCATCTTGAGCTCAACTTTGTCCTCAGATCTCTCATACAGAACTCCAAGGAATTTGATGAAATCCACTTCCTCATTATGCCCAAGTCTCATGAAAGCACCTTTATCTTTAACAACTTTTATAGGCTCACATGAGGGGAACTGCTATATTGCCTATTAATATAGAGGGAAGTTCGCACACAGAAATGAAATGTCTTCTATGCTATCCCATTATATGATAAAATTGGTTGCACATAAACCTGTTGCTGATGTATGGTCGCTTAAAATGTGTGTTTATTTATATCCCTTAAACTATTATCATTTCAAAGTTAGCATTTCCTTTTTTCATTGGTTCTGTAGTTCAAATGTGAATAAGTTCAGTGTTTTTGCACGAGTGAAGCTTCAATAGTATTTGACATGTCATTATAGCTGATGCAAGGACCTTGGTTCAACAAGCAAGGAATGAGGCAGCTGAATTTCGCTTCAAATATGGATATGAGATGCCTGTTGATGTATTGGCTAAATGGTATAACAATATTTTTCCACTAGAATTCAAATTTTGCTTCTATATGATCGTGCCTTGTAGTTATTTCTTAGTCTACTAGCTGCTCGACTAATTGCGTGATATGATTTGAGTTGGCCATGTTTTCTCATCTCCTATTTAACTTACCTGCATTTTATCGAGAGAAGTTATTACAAAATGTAGTCTCTTCTCACTTCTTCCCTTTTCAAAATCGGGAGGTTTATGAACCCCATAGAAGTGTGTGATGCAACGAGATCGTTGAGGAACTCTTCTTATCTAATTAGTAATCCATTAGTATTTGATATTATCATTTCATTAGTACTCTTCATCATATTTTTCCAAAAAAGGGAAAAAAAATTTATTAGTATGTATATTAATTTTATGCCTGGCATATTCTAGTGAAGTTTGTCCTTGTGCTCAGTTGATATGGTCTAATCTACTTTTTGGTTCGGAATGACTTGGACTATGCTCATGTAGATCGAAAATTTCATTTATAGTTACGTTTTGAAAGCCCAAGAATGAGGGTGGTCAGTGGTGGTAAAGGTGGACTCTAGTGTGCCCAAGCAAGTTTCGGATGTGAGTGAGCACAGGTGTTATGTCTTATATGAAGTAGTATCTAATGCGCCATCATAAGTAATGCCTGAAACACCTAGTTCATAACTTTATATAAATTATTAATGTTTCCACATGACATATACCTTTGTTTACTAGAAAATTCAACCCTCACTTTTCTGATTATAAGTTTGCTAAGGCTTTTCTTACGCAGTCAGATAGCTTTTTCCGCTTGCCTCTCACCATCATAGTAATGTTTGGAACACCTAGATCCACTGTTGTATGGATGTCACAATATAACATGTACTTTTGTCAACATCATTATCATCATCGCTGTTGATAGTTAAAATCTGGCTTTTATATCTCCAACAAAAAAAGAGAGGAGAAAATGTCGCTATTTTTTATTGGTTCATAAATTTGCTAAAGCTTTTCCAAGCAGGAAAATGCTCATTCTCTACTGCTTCTCACCATTTCTTCATAAGCAATGCTTAAAATCGATGATATTGCAGTTGGGATCTATTCTATTCTTTCATGTATCCTGCTATATTGGATTCTTTTTTGCATGTGCAGGATTGCAGACAAATCACAAGTCTATACCCAACATGCCTACATGAGACCTCTTGGAGTAGGTGTGCGTTTAACCTTTCTCCACTGGTGTGAAAGTCCTTTCTTCTTCTTATTATTATTTTTGACAAGTGAAAGTCCTTTCTTATTGTAAAATTCCGCATGGTGAAATCACATATGAGACTTAATCGTTTTTACTTGAATGTAAACGAGCTCCATATTATGCAATCACGCTTCACACTGTCTTATTTTTATTTAAATTTGTTAGGTTCATCATATCGTTCACACAACTCAATTCCTTGATTTCTAACCCCCTATGTTTGCTTTTTTGCAGTTGCTATGGTTTTGGGTATTGATGATGAGTTTGGACCGCGGCTCTTTAAATGTGATCCAGCTGGCCATTTCTTTGGTCATAAGGTATGAGCAAACCCTTTTTTTCCCCTCATAATATGTTAAAATTTTCTCTGTAAGTTTGTTTATTTCCTCCTGTTATGCAATATGAGTGCTGCAAATTATACCACAAAATGATGAAATGCCATGATATTCATCCGCTACAAAAATCAGTTAGTGTCTACTCTGGACGTGCATATCTGTGTTCCTTTAAACCAACCACTCCCTTTGTTCCTTTAAACCAACCACTCCCTTTGTTCCTTTAAACCAACCACTCCCTTTGTTCCTTCTAACAGAGACTGTAAATTGTCTCTTGAGGGAGTTAGTGAAGCTGTTTAGAGAAGTGTAATGTCCAAGGCTGTGCAATGTGATGTTTACTGTTTTATGAATTGTTTGGAAAGATGAAAATATAATTTTGTTTTAGGATTAGAGTTCTCCCTATGCAACACATCTGACTAAGAACTTGGTTGCTTCTTGTTTTTTTTGCATGCTCCACTTAGATTAGATGTAAAATTAATATTTTTTGATAGCTAATGGTTGGGTGCAAAGAGCACGAAATGAAAAGGCCATACATTTTTGAAAAGATGTCAACTTGTTCCTATATGACATTGTCACTTTAGCAAAGGGTCTTGGTTGCGTCTTGATAATCTCCATGTTCCCCTTTGGATAGGATCAGTTTTTTGATGTTAGATCTTGGTCTTCAAGAAGTTGGTTTGTGTATTTTATTAAAAAAAAAAAAAAAATGAATTTGGAAACTTATTTATTTTTTTATTTTTTGGGTATTATCCTTTTGTTGACTTTATCTGGACAAGCCAATACTTGTTAGGATAGAAATTTCAGGTTTTTGTCCTTAGCTTCCATTTACAGGTTATGCAATCTACACATATAAGTGGAGATTTTTTTTCATTTCTCAATACAAACACATGAACATGTATCATGTGATATAATTATTGGGACTGTTTTATATCATCATTTTACCCTGTACCCCGTCGTCAACTTCACTTCACTTCATTATATATTTGAGAAAAATTAATTCGATCAAATCGAAGCTCTCGACGCGCTCTGTTAGTGAGGTGGTTTCATTAACATCCTAACTTATATACCAGTTAAGAACTTGGAGTTATAAGTTTTAGGAAGTTGGGTGTGGAAGTAAGTTGCAGCATGATGATGTATTTTCCATTTGTGGATTATGTTTGTTCCACCTGTTAATATGGAATATTTATTTATTAAATATCATTATTTGATTAACTAGTTTTTATCACCTAAATAAGAATATATACTGTGACATTTGTCTGGGGTTCTTTTTCAGTACTTCTAACCAAATGATTTTCAACTTGTAACTGTCAGTTTGCTAGTTCTAGCTTCATAAAGCCAACAATTTTATTTTACATTTTTGCTACCTAATGTTTATTTGTACTATTATGCTTGGAAACTCATGCCAACATGTTCTAGGCAACAAGTGCTGGATCAAAAGAGCAAGAGGCTATAAATTTCCTAGAAAAGAAAATGAAGAATGATCCCGCATTTACCTACGAGGAGACGGTGCAGGTAGATGTTTCTTTTTCATTTTTATGATTTATTTTATAGTTTAGAATGGGGCTTGTTTTTCCACATTGCATCTCTCTCTGCCTCTCACTCTCTCTCTGACTGCAAGCTGATTGGAATTGCATCAAATTCATTGTTTTTTTCTAATTAGTGATGTTGGTAACATAATTTGTCTCCATATGTTGGCAAAAGCAGTACCATGAATTGACTGGAAGTATGTCTGAAACTTCCTCAGTATTTTCTCCTATTTTATATCAAAGAGTACACTTAACATGGACGGGGCTGACGCTGAGTAGTGTCTTCTTTCGATATATATATATTTGCTGAAACTACAAGTGAGCAAAAACAAAGAGAATTTCATTGGCTTTTGTTACTATTTTCTGTTGATTCAGTATAATATAATAAAATCATGCACAACTTTGATGATAATCATGATACTGCATGAGCTTGTCAGCTTTGATTTATCATCAGTTAAATGCTCAGATTGTTATGCTTTCATATTCTTTGAGCTTCTTTTAGTACTCTTTTTCTTGTGTGATTGGTATATCTCTCTAAGATTGATAGTGAAGTTCTATAAAACAACTGTCAGACCAGTCACTCTTTATTTGATGGAAAATTGGGCAGATAAAAAACAACATATGTGTAGAATGCATAAGCTGAGATGCAACACTTGGAGATAGAATGAAAGAAAATCGATTAAGATGGTTTGAACATGTACAAAGAAGACCACCAAGTGCACGAGTTAGGAAAAGTGACATGGTCCACATTGAAGGTAATGCTTGGGGAAGGGGAAGACTGAAATTAACATGGGTGGAGTTAATGAGGAAAGATATTGTAACATGTGATTTGATTGAGACTATCTTAGAGCGGATTGGAATAATATGGAGGAAAAGACTTTGTTGAGTTGAGTTGAATTGAGATACAAATACCATTTACAGCTGTAGAATTGCAAAATTTTGGCATATGTGTTGAGATCATCCTCAATTCTGTTACAACTTACAAGAGGAATGTTACTAGGAGAAAATACAATGTTTTCATGTTCCATATTGGACTTATTGCACCAACATTGCATCATGTTTTGGGTTGATAAAATTCACAAAGAAACATAATTTTAAGAAGCGTATTCCCACAAAAGACTTGTGCTTTCAGCCATAATTCCTTTGCATTGAAGGGAGATCACTGTTAGCATTACATATAGTATAAACATTGAACTGATTACAGTAATTTTACCCTATGAGTTTTGTCATTTGATTTTGTTTTCAAAAACTCAAGTCATTTGTTAGTTTCTATACATTAAATCAGTGATTCTTCTGTCCAATTGTTTGAGAGCTTGTCCCCGCATTTTTTCTGCTACGGTATGTGAATGGGCTTTTAGACCTCACTTTTCAAAAATATATATGACCTTATAAACATGGATAAAAAAAAATAATGTTAATTCTCTAAATTTTTTGCTTGAGTTTTCTTTCTTGAGATTGATTGCTGTGGGATGTTAACAAATGATTTGCATTTTATTTACCTTGTGAAGTCAGGCACTTTATTTATAATTTCCCCACCTGAAGTTTAACTTTGCTATGTTACTTCCATTATGTAGACTGCAATTTCAGCCCTGCAATCTGTTCTACAAGAGGATTTCAAGGCAAATGAGATTGAGGTATGATATTCTGGGAAGGGGACTTCCATTTGTAGACTGCATTACCTTATTAAATTATTTGTTACAATGGAAAAGGTATCTCTATCCATATTTTTGTTCATAGCCTAATTAAAATGCCGAAAAGTTTTGCAACATTTTTGCTTGAAATTGATGATGTGGCCACCTGGATCTGCTGCATAAGCTGCCTTTGCATGGCAAGTCCCCTATCACATTAATTTTCTTCATCTTATTTTACGAAATAAAACTTGATGTGGCAATTTAGTTGGTTTGTTGGCACAATGAATGATATCTTGCTGCACGGATTATCTATCATCCTCACCAATTGTTGCCTTTGTGTAGGATGGGAATACAAAAAAGGATTTGTTTATATAAAACCTATATCAACAGTTACTGTTTAACTAGTAGATTGATTTTGGGGCAATTTCACTGCACCCACTTGCAGTGGAAGGGCACATTTGATAACTTCTATTTGAACCCCTTCTCTCTCTGTCTCTCTGGAAGTGTTTCTTTCTTCTTTCTTTCTTTCTTTCTTTCTTTCTTTCTTCTTCTTCTTCTCCATTTTTTTTTTTTTGGAAAAACTGGACCTGTTTCTTTTGTGTGTCACCTTTGGGTTTCTCCATCTTCTGTATTCTGACATCTTTTCCTCTTCCCGTTGGGTTTGGACTAGCATGTGGTACTCTTAGCATTGCAAACTGAGATTGTTTTAATCATGTAGGGTCGGGATAATTCCCATTGTGAGATCTTCATTAGTTCCAAACAGAACTTAGCAGCTGTTCCTACAATTTTATTTAGTCATCATTTTAGTTAATAATTAAGGCACAGAGGAAGATCTGAAGGCAGTGTATCTCTTATGGTTCTGATCCCGATTCCTTCACCTGTTCCTGCTGATCTGCTCTGTTGTTTAATATGACATGGCCCTATATTATGCTGAATGGTCGGTGGCCAGCTTTTTGGAGAAGTTTTTTTATCAATTAAGTTGTATGTAATTGGTGTGCATATATTATTATTCATAAATATTATAATCATTATTATGAAAAATTATATATTTTGTCAGGTTGGAGTTGTGAGGAAGGAGAATCCGGGCTTCAGAGTGTTGTCTACTGAGGAGATTGACGAGCACTTGACCGCAATAAGTGAACGTGATTAAGTTCTTGCAGAAGTCCAAAGCTCTATTGTTTTGTGTCATTCAGTTATTCTAAATCGCAAAAAGCCTTCTTGTTTCTGTTTTTATCTGTTTACTTTAATCAGCAGATGTGTTCTTAAAGCAGACTGTTTGATATTTAACGTACTAGTAAAAAATATATGCCTCCAAATATCCTATCTTCTGGTCTATTTTCATTGAAATTAGAAGTGTTCTGAAAAGATTGGTTTTAGAGTACTAGTGACAAAATGTACTAAAATTTATGTGGCAACCTGCAAGTGCTCGGGTAAATATCTCGGGTGTGAATGTGGTTAATAAGCATTTGATTCACCAAATCTCGAACTACTCAATAACATATGCATAATTCTAAAAATATTTTGTTATTTTGTTTTATTTTTAAATTTTCTAATGTTGTCAAAGGAGCTGAAGCTGAATAAAACTGACTTTGTTTCTTTGGATATAAAATATTTTTTTTTGGTGTTGGTTTGTTGTAAAATATTTAACAAAGAAAAAAAATTATTAAAACTGAATAAATATAATTTATTCATCAATTTTTTAGTAAGATATTTTACATGTCTGATTTCGACAATTAAAAATTTTTAAAATATATATTTTACTTGAAAGAATATACGTATATATTTTTTTCTGAGAAATATTTTATGTCGAAACAGCAGTGACTCAATAAAATCTTTTCTCACTTAGGCCATCCGGGTTAGCTAAAGCCCTTCTTTAGCTATTTGGGATCCCAAACTCCATGCAGCGGACTAGCTTAATTGGGCGGGGCCCACTTTGGCTCGCGTGTCGGCTAGTGGAATATCGCGAGGCCTAGCCCGATCGCTGTATATTTTTTTTGTTTTTTCCTTGACCAAAACGTACCGCGAGGCCGAGCCCGATCGATGTATATTTTTTATGTTTTTTCCTTGACCAAAACGGCGACGTTTTGGTTATGTTCCTTCCTTCTTCTTTTTTTTTTTTCCTAAAATGGCAATAAATGCGAGAATATTTATTTCCATAATCTCATTGTTTTTTTACTTTGCAATAACTCGGGTGAAATGTGTAGAGATAGGAAAAAACATCAACGGCGAAAGCACTCTGCTGGGTCGACACTGACACTGAGAGACGAAAGCTAGGGGAGCGAATGGGATTAGATACCCCAGTAGTCCTAGCTGTAAATGATGGATACTAGGCGCTGTGCGTATCGACCCGTGCAATGCTGTAGCATCCCATCCCATCCCATTATGACAAGACCTGGGGATATCAGAAGCGAGAATGTTGACATGAGTAAAGCGTTCTTCCCTGCCCTGGTTTGCCATTTCATTTACCCCTGGAAAATCTTCTGGCTATAGTCAGTATGCTGAATAGTGCCTTAAGGTACTGTTTGGCAGAATGGTTTTTTATGAAAAAAAACTCTAAAATAGGTTATTTGAACTCCATTTTTTTTTTTTAAATAAAATAAAATTTATTAAATGAAAAATATATTGTTTAGGCACTGTTTGTCCAAAAATAAATTTATTTGGGCAAAAATAAATAAATAAATAAATTTTTTTTTTTTTTTTTTGTTTTTTACCCTTAAAATTTGTTTTTAATTTTTTTTTTTTTGGCTTTAAATTTTAAATGTGTACCACAAATAGTGTATTTGGCCATTAAGGCACTGTTTGTGTTAGCCAAACAGTGCCTTAATAGCTATAATTTAAAAAAAAAAGTTTAAAATTCAATTTTTTTTTTTAACTTTATTAAAAAAAAATTAAATTAAAAAATTTAAAATCACTTCTCTTCTATAAATACTCCAACTCTTACCATCATTCATCACATTTAACCGATCTCTATTATCTACCATACAACTTATTTCTTCTTCTATTTTCTCAATCTTAATTATTATTTTCAAACTCATTTCGATTCCATGAATCCTCGACATCCATTTTATTACAACACCCAATTCAACCCATCAAACAATGAGTTTTTGCTATTTCCCGAAGACTATCAATTATTATGGAAGCGAATCTGAATTTCCTTCTTATCAACCATCCCAACCTTTTTATCAACCATCCCAAACTTCTCATCGATATTGTGGTACTAGCGTTCCACAATCAAGTAACTCAAAACCCCCTCCAAAGCAACCGGCTATCTGAAATATAAATTGGATCAAGGTTGAAGATGAGGCTTTATGTTGGGCATGGATGTCCATTATCTCTGATGCGATTATGGGGACATATCAAAGTAAGAAGAAATTATGGGAGCGAATCCTAGAACAATATGTACAACATATTGGTGTTCCTCCAACTGACCGAAATGAAAGAGGTTTGACGAATTGTTGGTCGGTGATCCAACAAAAAATCAGCAAATTTTTCGAGTCCATGACTAACATCGAAATGAATCGTCCCAGCGGCTTCAGCAGTGATGATATAATGAGTTATTTATTGTTTAAATATAACTCGTAAATATTTTAAACAGTCGGCTTTTAATTTTTTGTTAATTTTTTCGTGTAAATGATAGCAGCTAAAGACTTGTTTCGTAGCGAAACAGATGGTGAATTTAAGTTAGAAAGTTGCTGGGAGATCTTGAAGTATAACAATAAATGACATTCACATTGTGCTGAACAAGTAGATAAAGGAAAAAAAGGAAAAAAGAAAAAAACAGCTGAAGAAGAGTGAATTTGACATTAATGAGGCAGTTGGGCACTCATTATCATCTACTCCGTCAAGTCATGCAGCCACGACAGATGGAGCTTCAACTGAAGAATCACCACACATGGGGGAAAATGATTCACCCGGTGTGGAAGAATATCAACAACTACAACGACTAGCAAGTAGCGCCGAGCAAAAATTAATTCAATTTTTGAATTGTAAAATTGATTCATTACCAATTTTAATGATCTCAAATATCATTATGAGAGTCGTCAGGAGAAAATGAAGGATGCCCAAGTGGCACGAGAGGTAAGAAAAGCGGAGAAATAGAAGACGAGGCAGCTAGAGATTCTAGAGAAACAGAGAGCTGAAGAGAAGGAGATCATGTTAATAGATCCAAATTCGGCACCAACGGAAACGGGAAAAGTTTGGATTATTGCACGACAAAATGAGATATTGGCATCTTTGCATTATGGTCTGCCCCAAAGTTCCCATAGGATTTTGTGATCCTTAGTCTATTTATTTTCTTATTCCAATTTAGGATATTGTATTGTTTAAGTTATTTTTAATTGTTTTATTTTTTTTGTTTTTTATTTATTTATTTATTTTTTATTCATAATGGATAATGTATTGTTTAAAGTTATAATATCAATCCTAGTTTTTTTAATAATTTGAAAAAGTATTGTTTAATTGAAAAATATTATCGTTAAGAAAATATAGCCGTTACAAATATAACTGTTAAGAATATTGTGGTTAAAAATATATCCGTCGGGAAAATAAAAATAATAATAATAATAATAATTTTATATATATATTTTTTTGGAGAGCGAAAACTCGGAGAGCCTGATGGAGTGCATGTTTCTGGAGAGCCAAAGCTGTTGTCATAACTCTTGGAATTGCTGACGTGGCTCTTGGAAAAACTGAAGTGACATTTTTGAAGAGCCAAAATTCGGAGAGGCCGGTGCAGGTGGCTTTATCTCTCTTAGATCATTATGTGGCATAACGCGGATTAAGAAAATAGCTCTACAAAAGTGTATTAATATATTATAAAGTGTCATGATCGGAGGGTTGCCCTTAAATTAGTCCACCAAGTGCTAAATAGACTCAGACCATCTAATAATTTCTGGTTATCAAGTAGCCAAGTCTTCATACATGAATCTTCGCAAGTTCAATACTCTTTAGGTTGTGTAGTTGGTTTTACATGATTCTGAATATCTTCAAAATCTGAACATTTTCATAGAAATCCACTCGCTCTTCAATCCCGTTGAAGCCTTCAGATCCTGCAATGGAACTGACAACGGGAGTCAAATTTACGAAGAGAAGCTAGAGAAGAACACCTAATTGGGAGCAACCGAGGAGAATTTAATGAACACTTGCAAGCCATGCATGAGATACAACGATCAATATTGAGCTCCGCCAATAACATCATTGGTATCGCCATGACTCGGTTAATAGATGAGTTTGATACCATTTTAATCAGCACCAAAAATTCAATTGAATTACAAGACGATTGATCATCAACTGAATGAAGAATATTCCATCAACGATCTCAGGAGTATTGCAAAGGTGATGTTTTCATTTGAGGCATTCAGGTTTAGGTAGATGTTTGGAAGTCTGTCTTTCATGGACACCATTCTTGGCTTGGCGTTGAGCATATAAGCAGTGCTGATGTCAAAAGGTTGTTTTGGGGGGTAAGAATTGGAGCTTAAAATCAGACGATGGATGCAAGCGTCTAATTGTCTCCGAATTTTCTTTTTTGTGAAAGATTTAATTATATAGAAATATTAGTTTACTAATCCGTTTTGAACTTTACAAAAGACAATTTCTTGTCCAATCCTACGATAATAAGTTAATTATTTATTCTTTTCCCTCTTTGAACAAACTTATCATTTTTTTTTTTTTTTTTATTACCATTAAACATAATTAAAATGAAATGACAAAACTACCTCCTTCATTAAAGGAAACAAAAATGAAAGAATTTGCAACTCAGTTGTTCCTCCTTTCCCTCAATTACTCGAAGGATTTGGTAGATGAGTTAATGTTTCATCAAAATTTTATTTTCTGCCATCTCCATTCTCACGAGGAGGAGTTCCCTTAAATTTTGAGAAAATTCTTTGCTTAGACTTTAAGCAATCAGAAAATTTGTATAGAAGAATTAGGGAAAAAAATGAAGAAAAGAACATGACAAAAGAATGTTATTGAAAAGATGGGCTGATTAAAATTTTAGAAATAAAAAACATAGAGTAGTTTTATAATTTTAATACACACAAAATAAAAATATAAAAAGAATTAGGTGTGGGCAGTTTAAATAAGAACACCAGCCCCACGTAGCTTTACCAATTGGATGGATTTCAGAACTAGTTGTTGTCATGTTTTCTCATTACGTTTGTTCTATAAAAAATTTGTAGTAGATTAAATTATTTACAAAGAATAGAGATGGCAGAAAATTGAAAAGGCAACGGAGTAGTCAAATACTTTTCAATTTTTTTTTTTAAGCAAATGGTCTAGTTTTGTCATTTTATTTTGATTATATTTAATGATAATGAAAAGAATGG